CTTTATTAATTTCGAAAAAATATCAGCAAAAAAATAAATTAAAAAAAAAAGAGCATCCAAAATCTGTGCCTCTTTTGCTATACTAAAAGGATAAAATGTAATTTATCAAAAAACATAAAAATAAAAATATAACAGCTATCCGTAACATTAAATTATTCGCAGGTAAAAAACTCCTAACATTTTTCACAGGAAATAAAACGCTTTGCTGACAGAGAACGAAAACCGAAACTCTGCAAACTGCGATGGAGCCAACAAATGAAAACCCTACCACCGCAATCACGAATCGAAACCTAAACGATCTCCCCGACGAGATCCTCATCCACATCCTTACCTTCCTCCCCACACTAAACTCCGTTGAAACCTCCCTCATCTCCCAGAAATGGCGGCCCCTCTGGTCTCGCGTCCCCTCCCTCGACTTCAACTACCAACTCTTCCCGCCGCACGAGCATCCCTCCCATACCTCCCAGTTCTACGTCGAGTTCGTCGACCGCGCTCTGATTTCCCGCCTCAATTATCCCCTCCACACTTTCCGCCTCTCTTTCCTCTACGACGAACACTACCGCTCCACTGTCGACTCTTGGGTGCGATCCGCCGTCGCCCGCCTCCGCGCTCGGGAGCTCTTTCTCGACTTCTTCATCGAAACCGATGTTCGTGACGAGCAGAAACCCACGTACGATTTCCCTTTCTATGTTTTGAGAGATGGGTGTGTTGAGAAATTATCGCTCACGAGCTGTGATCTTACTCTGCCGGCGAAATTGTCCACCATGCGTTTTGGGTCGATTCGGTTCATCTGTTTCAACCACGTTTACTTGGAGGACCAGGCCGTGAAGGATTTGTTATCTGCTTGCCCCAATTTGGAGGTTTTGGAAATTAACAGCTGTTTGGGGCCTCACCATTTGGAGATATGCAGCACAAGTCTTAGAAGGCTAATACTTGAATTTGGGTATATCCCAAAGCAGAAGCAGACGTTATTGGTTGATTGCCCGAAGCTTTGTTCGATCAGTATTCATAGTTGTGACTTTGAAGAGTGTGTACTTAAGAATGCTTCTTCTTTGGTTGAGTTTCATGTTGATTTTCCGCATCGAATTGATGGGTCGTATCGTCCTTGGAGTAATGTTGTTAGGCTACTCGAACAAGCACCAAATGTTAAGCATCTTAATGTGCAAAATTGGTGGTTCAAGGTAATCTTTTGACTTGTTTCTCATATATATCGTTGTGGAAATTATGCCAATATATGTAGTTATCTGGTTGGTTTTTGAAGTATGTGTGAGGGTTCTCATAGAAAGGCTTAATTTTGGTGTTTTTCGGCCAAGGATATGCAGCCGTGTACTTGTGAATGTAACTGTGTCTTTTAGGAATTGAAAGAGAAAATAACATGAGAGAATGTAAGGCTTTCGTAGCTTATCGTTTCATCTTGGAATCGGAAGAAAGATGGAAGGGGTAATTAGCTATTCAGGTCTGCTCATTACTACAGGGGTTGGTCTATACATGGGAATTGATTAGTTTTTAATTTATACAAATTGGTCATGGATTCTTCTCCCAGAAAATTTGTCGACTCTTATATGTCCTTTCGTTTTGTTTTTTGTATCTTAGTATGCACCAATATTCTTGGTTTTTGATAAAACTAGATATCCTTCATTTACGTTTCTTCACCAAGCATAGTGATGTTAGTCGTGATAAATGACATCGGGAAGAAAATTGAAGTTCCCATCACTCTGGTTGTTCCACCTAATTGCTTGTGGTAATAACTTATTAAAACATTATCACTCATTCTAAGAAGCAGAATTAAGTTATAATTAACCACTGGTGCATAGTTGTCTCTCCTGGAGATTGCGTTTTTTAGATCATCCCTCGGAACTATTTATCTTAAAATTGTGTGTCTGGAAATGAGATCTGGTAGCCTGTCTTACTAACCAGCCATGTGATTCTGTGCTAGACAGGCTTTAATCGCTTTCTTATTCTGTCCGCTTCATTGCTGTGGGGTTAACCTTTGTGGACTTGGGGGTTTTTCAATTTCATTTTTTACCGCTTAACCTACTGGTTCTTAGAGGGATTATGTTATCGAACATCTTCTGATATTCGTAATTGTTTCCTTTGCATGTGCCCTCAGTTTCTGACATCAAAGAATACTTTTCCCGAAAGTTTTATTCTCCACAATCTGAAGCTGTTGGTGCTGCGAACTGGGTGTACCCAATATGATCTCGTTGGCATGGCTGCACTGCTTAAACTTTGTCCCAATCTTGAGACACTGATTCTAGAAAACCCTTTCAAAATGGAGAAAGACGTGAGTACTTTTACACAGAGAATTATAGCAATGCTTGATGTTACTTATCATCCTATTTTACGTTTCGTGCTGCATATCTAAAATTTGATGTTCTAAATTCCAGGAGAGTTTACCAGAAGAGCTATTGAAGAAACCAGTTCATTTCAGCATGCCAAGTCTCAAGCAAGTTAAACTGAAAGCGTATAACGGACGACAATGTAGTATTTTGAAAATCTTGATTGAGCAAGGAGTTGTCCTGGAAAAGATTGTACTTCTTATCGACCAAGTTGGCCAGAACGAACCGCTTCCTCCGATAATTCTAAATAGAAAGGTTTCACAAGCTTGGGAGATAGTGGATAGATTATGAGGTTTAAATGGGGAATGCAAAATCCTGGAGCTCTGAGACCTCCAACTTTCAACTTTCAACTGCTGTTTTCGGATATTGAATTAGACTTTTGGATTGAGCTCTCTAATTAGATTTCTATGAGTGCATTGACTGAGACTGTATTTTCTTGTTCCTGTATATATGAAGAGTTTGCAGCATGTTTTATGAGCAAATTAAGTTGCTAAAATGGTCCATGAGATTGACACAACTCCCCATTCTGGTCTTTGAGATTTGAATTCAATAGAAGTGGTTTGTTCACCATTAATCATTTTAATCATCCTGCATCTCCATTGTTTTTAAGTTTTCCCTAAGGGGTATGCTACTCACACATTTTTTTTTGTTTTGTTTTTTTTTGACTTTTCACATCCTTTGTTAATTTATGTCCCTTGATCTTGTTCAATTCATCTGATCTGACGGTTGAAAATTAAAAGGTGTGAGAAGTAAAAAAATTAAAAAGCTGTGTGAGAAGTAAAAAGAGATGCGTAGATGACACATTTAAAATCAAATAGTCTGGCTACAATACTTCGGCAGCAGTGATGTATTGAGCCTCCGCGTTGTGATTTAGGCAGCCGGAACCACATCTATGATTTCCGTTTCTCTCTTCTTAGAAATGGGTGTGTTGAGAAATTGAGCCTCACGCGTTGTGATCTTAGGCAGCCGGCGAAATTGTCCGCCATGGGTTTCGGGTCGATTGGGTCCGTGATGTTATGCACCTAATGGAAGGCTATAATTATTGGAGCATGGCTGTTAGGCTACTCGAACAAGTGCCTCATCTTAAGCATTTTAGTGTGCAAAATTGGTGGTTTAAGGTAATTCCCCAAAACTTCTGCCTTGATCAATTATTGTTTTTGTATTTCAATTTTCGCCAACTTTGAGCTAAATTTTGATGACATTGATAGGCTACATGTGTTTTTGAATGAGTTTGTGTCTTAATATAATAACACGAGAGAGGATTTTTAGCTTGTCATTAAATCTTGAAGCGACAGAGGGAATAATCAGTGCTTAATTTGTACAAATTGGTCATTAAATAGGTGTATTAAGACTAGATATCGTGCATTACGATTCTGCTTCTGGCATAGTGATATCAGAGGTGAGTTTGTCAGGAAAAGTAAAACTTTGTTTCACTCTGATTATCTTTCCTCATTGCCTATGGTGCAATTAGCCGTTAGAGTTTCATAATAGGTAGGGCATTTCTATTTTTGTTTATGTTCTGATCGATCTGTTCTCATTGTTTCAAATTAGGTTAAGTTTAGGCAGTTTCACTTTTTTTATGTGGAAGTTATGCCAAAATTTCGTGCTACGTGGTTGCCGTACTGAATTCTGATTATGTGGAAGACTTCTCAAACATAGGTTCAATTTGGTGTTTTTCGGACTCGGAGATTAATAATAAAATTTCTCATTACTATGGTTATTGAACCTGATTGCTTGTGGTGCAATAAGTTAAAACTTTCACTTGGGCATGGTGTTCTCATTGCATGGAATTGTTGTGAAAAAATTGAACTACCAAGAAAAGGTCCTGTCTATTGTTTCTTATACAAAAGTGGGTTCTATCTGGATGATCACTCGTTTCAGGATTCGTTGATGGTTAATCATGCCATTGTGCAGAGTTAGTTTTCTCTCCTCCTTGTTGTGGCATTGAAGAGTTTCTGGGAGCAGCCATGTGCTTCTGTGCTATATGTGTATTGTTAGTTTTTTTTTAATTTTTGATACATACATTCAGGTACATTTCGTAATGTTGAGTTGGCCGGTCCTTCAGTTCGAATAGTAATATTTATTTGACACATACTAGTTATTTGGTCCGTACAATAATACTTCTTGAGACGTACCAAAACTGATACGTTATGTATTGTCGAATTTGGTTCATCGATTTATATTGGTACATTATCTAATAAAAGCATGAAACATACTAATTACTTTGGCACATTATGTAATGTATATTCAGGACATTCCACTCATTTAATACATAAAGTAATATTTTTTTTCGCACGTACCAATAACTTAGTACGTAACTTGAAAAAAACAAGTACTAAGGACAAGTCCCCAAACATTAAGCCAGATCTTATCCCTGTGAAAAAAGGCATAGTAGAAAAACTTTAAATTGCCACTTAGTACTACGGTCTAGTGAAATTTTTCTTTACTTGTAAGAGAAATTTTGGGTTCGGTTTTCTTCAAAAACAAATTTGAATTACATTATTATGATTGGTCTAGTGTGAGATTTAGTTCAATTTCTCATTGTTTATTAAAAAAAAAACAAAAAAAAAACTAAACTCTAACTAGAAGACCGGATTTGAAATTACATCCCTACCCCAAAGCTTTTAAAACGAAAAATGGGACGAAAGTCGAGACCTCCAGAATCGAGGACATGGAGATGGAGGGAAGCAGTAAAATCACAAACACTCGCAACCTGAACGATCTGCCGGAGGACCTCCTCCTCCATGTCCTCACCTTCTTCCCCACATTAAACTCCGTCTAAACCTCCCTCATCTCCCACAAATGGCTGCCCCTCTGGTCCCGCGTCCCCTCCCTCAACTTCAACTTCCAACTCTTCCCGCCCTACGAGCCGCCGTTGGACACCCGCCAATTGTACGCCGATTTCGTCGACCGCGTTCTCATTTCCCGCTCCGATTCCCCGATCCACACATTTCGCCTCTCTCTCATCTACCACTATCACTACCGCTACCATGTCGACTCCTGGGTTCGATCCGCCGTCACTCGCTTCCGCGCCCGGGAGCTCTACTTCGACTTCTTCATCAACCAAAATTTTCACAACGCCGACGAAGCCGAAACTGAGGATCACCACATGTACGATTTCCCATTCTCTGTTCTGAGAAATGGGTGTGTTGAGATATTGAGCCTCACCAGGTGTTATCTCAATCTGCCGGCGAATTTGTCCACCATGCGGTTCCGGTCGATTGCGTCAATGGTTCTCGATGACGTTTATTTGACGGACCAGATGGTGGAGGATTTGCTTCTGGGTTGCCCCAATTTGGAGGCTTTCGAGATTCTTGGGTGTCGCGGGCCAATTCATTTGAAGATATGCAGCAAAGGGCTCAAAAGGCTGCGAATTGTATTGGGGTATTATTTTCCTGATGATCCTGAAAAGAGACAGACATTTTTGGTTGATTGCCCCAACATTTGTTCGATCAATTTGGATCTTTGTGCCTTTGAGGAGTCTACTTTTAAGAATGTTTCTTCCCTGGTTGAGTTTCGTGCCGATTTCGTGCACCGAATCCATCAGTCTTATCATCAGTGGAGTAAGGTTATTAGGGTTCTCGAACAAGCGCCTAATCTTAAGATTCTCAATGTGCAAAATTGGTGGTTTAAGGTAAATTCTTGTACCTCTGTTTTTGATCAACTATTGTTTTTGTTGTTCTGATTTTCGTTAACTTCAGGCAGGTCCATTCTGTTTTATTTTCAGTGTCGTAATTATGCCCAAATATGTTAGCAATGTGGTAAGTCTACTTGTGAATGTACGAGGCTTTTTGCAGATTGGCTCAGTTTTGGCGTTTTTCGGAGTAGGATGTATAGGTGTATTTGTGAATGAAATTGTGTCTTCTAGGAACTGAAAGAGATACTAACATGAGAGAAAGTAAGGCTTTTTAGCTTGTCATTGAATCTGGGATTCGAAAGGAAGAGGGAAAGGGTAATTAGTTATTCAGGTCTGCTCATTATTACAAGGGTTTGGACATGGATTGTTCTTCCACGAAATTAAGAAGCAGTGGGGGTTCTAAATAGTGTAGAACATTGTTGTTTTTGGTTTTGGCTCGTGCCGCTAATCAGATTGGAGACTAGTTTCTTCAAGAGTCTTTTGAAGTTGGATAATTTTGCTTAGCATGCATTTCCTGTGCAAATTTTTTGTGGTTTTTGATAGAATGGAAAATAGAATTCCGCACGGATTACCGTATCTTCTTTCTTTAAACTGCAATATATAGATTTACGAAACTAGACTTCTATTACATTTCTTTAGCTGGCACCGAATTGCTTTTGTTGCAGTTAGTTATTTTACTTACACATTGGCTATGGAGTAATCATTCAGAATGTGTCAATGAGATATCGGAATTTAATGACATTGTAAGAAATTGCTCTGAAAAATGAACTACATACATAGATTAGGTCCGGCTATTTTTTCTTATCCAAGGAGCAAAAACAGGTTCTGCCTTGATGATCACTCATTCTAAGAAGTGGGTTAATTGATGATTAGCCATGCCATTGTGCCGAATTAGTTGTCTCTCCTTGATGTTGTAGTTTGTCTCGGTGGCCAGCCTTGTGATTCTGTGGTATACATTTATGTCCAACATTTCATTCATAGATTGCCTTAACCTCTGTGAACTCTCGGATTTTCAAATTTTACTGCTTAAATCTCTTTGGGGTTGTTTCCCTACTCATGACCTCTGGTTTCTAAAGGCATTATGTTATTGAACATCTTCTAATGCATGTAATTGTTTTCTATGCATATGCCATCAGTTTCTGACATCAAAGGATACATTCCCCAAAAGTTTCATGCTCCACAACCTGACGGTCTTAGTGCTGCGAACGCGGTTTACCCAATATGATCTCGTTGGCATGGCTGCAATGCTTAAACTTTGTCCCAATCTCAAGACACTGATTCTCGAATTCCTTTTCAAGGTGGAGAAAGATGTGAGTACTTTTACACACATAATTATAGCAATGCTTGATGTTTCCGTGTTACTATTGCTTATCATTTTATTTAGTTTCCATGCGTCGTATCTAAAACATGATCTTCTAATTCCCAGGAGAGTTTACCAGAAGAGTTGTTAGATAAACCGGTCGAGTTCAACATGCCATGTCTCAAGCAAGTAACAATGGAAGCTTATACTGGGAGCGAAGACGATGATAAGTTTATGAAAATCTTGATGAGGCATGAAGGCGCCCTAGAAAAGATTGTAGTTGTTCCCTTCCAAGGTTTCGAGAATGGCGAGAAGAAGTCGCTTCCTCCGGTGGTATATAGAAGAAGGGTCTCGCAAGTTGGAAGTACGGTCTCCTCCGCAGCACCAAATGGTATATAGACTCCGAGCTTTAAATGGCGAGTTCTAAGCAGATTTTCTAGTTGAAAAAGAGGCTTTGCCGCCCATTGAAAAAGAGACTTTTAGAATGATTTTGCGGCATATTTTTTCTTTTTCTTGAGCAAGTTAATATGCTGAAATACGAATCTCAACTAAAGCTACAAGCCGGTTTGGGATTGCTTTAAATGTGGTTAAAAGCATTTTTTATAAGAGAACATTTTTTGAACCAATATTTAATAAAAATGCATGTGAATCTTAAAAAAACATTTGAATCGTGTTAAATGCTTTAAGAATCCATCGCTTTTGGTTATTTTAAAAATACTTTCCAGAGAGCTTTAAAAGCATGATATATCATAAGTAATAGAATGTTTATTTTTAGTTATGTTCTTGAAACACCAGCATATGCGAAGTTGATAATATTCGTCGTTCTCTCTACATTCAAATTTGAATCATTTGCAATGTAATGAGATGAATTTACAATTTAGTATGAAATATTAACAAAATAGATCATTTATAAAAATTGGTAAAGTTTGAAAAATGCAGAAGATAAAATATTAACAAAATAGAAAAGGGGTAGATAAAAATCAGCGTCAGTCAGTTCCTCCAACAGAGTTTATAAAATCTTTTGCCGGTTGAAGAAACAGGAATCCAAACCAACGATGGAAGAATTGGGAATCAATGAAATCCCGAATCGAACCCTAAACGATCTCCCCGACGAGATCCTCCTCCACATCCTCTCCCTCCTCCCCACACTCGACGCCGTCCAGACCTCCCTCATCTCCCACAAATGGCGGCCCCTCTGGTCCCGCGTCCCCTCGCTCAACTTCGACTACCAACTCTTCCCGCCGAGCGAGCCGCTCGAATACACCTCCCAGTTCTACGCCGAGTTCATCGACCGCGTTCTCATTTTTCGTGCCAATTCTCCCGTCCACACTTTCCGCCTCTCCTTCATCTACCACTCTTACTACGGCTCCCACGTCGAATCATGGGTCCGATCCGCCGTCACCCGCCTCCGCGCCCGGGAGCTCTACCTCGACTTGTTCGTCCATGACGATTTTCACGATGTGGAAACCGTAAATCACTGGTACGATTTCCCTTTCTCGGTTCTGAGAAATGGGTGTGTTGAGAAATTAGGCCTCACGCGCTGCTATCTTACGCTGCCGGCTAAGCTGTCCACTCGGCGTGTTTGGTCGATTCGGTCCTTGTTTCTCGATCAGGTTTACTTGGCGGATCAGATGGTGAAAGATTTGATATTGGGTTGCCCCAATTTGGAGGAATTGGAGCTCCAAAAGTGTTCGGGCCATCGTCATCTGAAGATATGTAGCAAAAGGCTTAAGAGATTAACGCTTGGGATGTTCTTTGAATCTTCTAAACAAAGAGAGACGCTTTTGGTGGATTGCCCGAACCTTCGTTCGATCAGTTTTAATTGCTGTAGCTTTTTCAGGTTGGAGCTTAAGAATGCTTCGTCCCTGGTTGAGTTCCGGGTTGATTTTGTGCATATGATCCACCTATCCTATTCTTATTGGATTAAGGTTGTTGGGCTACTGGAACAAGTGCCTAATCTTAAGCACCTTCATGTGCAAAATTGGTTGTTTATGGTAATCTTTTTTTATCTCTGTTATGATCAATTGTTGTTCATATTGTTTCGATTGTGCTTAACTTTATGTAGTTTTATTCTTCTTCTGTTGTGTGTGCAAACTATGGCAAAAATGTGAGGTATATATAGCAATGTGGTTGGTATTGTGACTGCCGGAAGGCTTCTCGTAGATTGGCGAAATTTGGATGTTTTTCGGACATGGTGGTATATCCGTGTATTTTGTATTGAGACTCTCTTAGGAATTGAAAGAGATAAGAAAGTAAGGCCTTAGTTAGCTTGTCACTGAATCTTGGAGTTAAAAGGAAGAGGAAAAGGGTAATTAGTTTTTCAGGTCTGAGCATCATTACAGGAATTCGGTCGTGTCTAGATAGAGGAAATGATTAGTTCCTGACTTTTACAAGTTGGTTATAGATTGTTCTCCCAGGAAATTAAGAAACGTAATATTGCTCTTTGTGGACTGTTATCTTATGTGTCCTATCATTAATCACATTGGGAGATAAGTTTCTGCAATAAACCTTTTGATGTTGAATAATATAGCTTACATTTTCCGTGCCAGCATTTTTGGTTATTGATAGAACAGAAAGTAGATTTTTTGTTCAGTACGGATTACATATTTGTCGTTAAACGGAAAAAAAAAATTCTTCAGCTGGTTTTTGCACCAAATTGATTGTGGTTCACTAAGTTATTTTACTTTTAAGTCGGGTATTTATTCCCTTCCATCATTCCTTATCCCATAGGTTTGATCCTGTAGAATCTAACCTATGAAATTCTCACTCAGAGTGCATCGATGAGATATTTGAACATAATGGCATTGTACAGAATTGTTTTGAAATATGAACTACCAAGAAAAGGTCTTGTCTATTGTTTTGATTGTCACTAGTTCTAAGAAGCAGTAAGAAGCAGGATTAAATGATGATTAACCGATCCTGGGAGATATTTTCATATGAGAATCAGTCTCACCGGAAATGAAATCTGGTTGCATGTCTCAGTGACTACTGACCAGCCATGTGGTTCTGTGCTTGACATTTTTTAGTCACTTTCTAACTCTCCTCATTTCTGGGCAACATTACATTCTTAGTTGATAGAGCCAACCTCTTTGCCTTAAACTTCATGAAATTGGGGATTTTTCAATTATCACGTTTTACTGGCTTTTTCCGCCTCTGTATGACTACTGGTATGCGAAGGGATTATGTTGTTGAGCATTTTCTTATATTCCTAATTGTTTTCTTTGCATATGCCTTCAGTTTCTGACATCAAAGGATTCCTTCCCGGAAAGTTTTATGCTCCACAATCTGAAGATCTTAGAGCTACGAACTGGGTTTACCCAGTATGATCTTGTTGGCATAGCTGCACTGCTTAAACTTTGTCTGAATCTCGAGACAATGATTCTAGTATACCCTCGCAAGTTTGACCCGGATGTGAGTATTTTTACAAACATATAATTATAGCAATGCTTAGTGTTTCAGTGTTACTATTGCTTATCATTCTTTTTTATGTTCCTTGCTGCACATTAAAACTTGATCTTGTAATTCCCAGGAGAGTTTACCAGAAGAGTTGTTGGATAAACCAGTTGAGTTCAGCATCCCAAGTCTCAAGCAAGTTACGATCAAACCGTATACAGGAACAGAAGATGAAGGTAAGTTCGTGAAAATCTTGACCGAGCAAGGTGTTGTCCTAGAGAAGATTGTACTTGTTCATGGCCAAGTTGAGAACAGAGTAGTCGTTCTGAAGTCGGTTCCCCCAGTTGTTATGTATAAAAAGGGTTCACAAACTTGGAACTACTCTCTCCTCCGCAACTCCAATTAGAAAATGGACTTTGAGCTTAAAACGGGAATCCATCGGCTCCGTCTCGTTCCAAGGTTTACTGTTTTTTGAACTTGGATTATGAATCTTAGATTAGATGGTTATTACAGATATCAAAATCTTATTTCGAGTTTGTTTACGTATATCTTCCGTCTTATTTCTTTGTGAAAATGACGTGTTTTTATTAGACATAGTTGTAAGGTTGATCGTGTCCATATTATTCCCTTTATAATGCTTTGATTCGAATAGAATTGGTCTTGTTTACAACGTCATACCAAATCTTACTTGTTCAACAATCAACATGATAAGATAATAAAATGTCTTATCTGACTAAATGGGATCGATTGCATTAATCTTAGAATGTTATTGCGCTCGGTTCTGCGTGACACGCTTGACCTCGATGTTCCCCAAACACCAGGGTAGGCACGTGTTGGCCAACACCCGAAGGTGACGAAGCCATATTAGAATGCATGAGAACAAGAAATAAATAAGACTTATAAATTTAAATGTAATTAATATGCAAATGTGGAACGTGTTCAGAGCATACAACTAATTGAGAACACTAAAAAGAAATAATATAAAATTGAATGAACAAAGGAATGGGTCATACACCGAGAGGACTAGAAGATGCCGATGCGGAAGTGCCTTGATGCTGGGATTGTATGCCTTGATTCTAAATCTTAAGGGGGCGCAAAACAAACATGAGTGGACCAAGTTTATATATATAATATTGAAATAGCTATCAACATACTAACCCCCAAAGTTTAAAGAAATCTCATAACATAATATGTAATAGGTTTTCGAAAACCCTAGCATACCATAAAACCTTCATAAAACATATACGTATATAGTGTGCTAACTAGTGGTATTCCAGTCACCTGTGGTATTCAATAATTATATCTCCCGGCCAGCAGCCAACAACTATATCTTTTGGCCCAAAGCCAACAACTATGTCTTTTGGCCCAAAGCCAACAACTATGTCTCTCGTCCGTAGGTAGAACAGTAACCACTAGATGAGCACAAAACATTGAATATACTCTTTCCAAACATAGGTACATATATCTCAAAAACATCTTCATAGCATATAGTCATCCATCACATATACTATAAAGAAGTGTGTAAAAACATGTTCATAAATAGTATATAGTCATTCATCATATATACTACAAAGAACATAAATTCGGTAAAATATGGTATTGCAAAATATTTGTAGTAAAGCATGATATAACATAAGTGTAAATCTAATTTACTCATAAAATGTTTCATAAAACGTAACCATTAAATCATGTTTTTATGTATGCATTTCTATTATTAAAACATGCATTTTAGAAAGGGTCAACTCACAGATACTTCGCTGCCAAGAGCCATGCAAACTAGCGAAGATGGAAACGCCACAATAAATGCACCTAAGCACATAAATGGTCTAATTAATAAAATTATACTATAACGATTGAATTTGTGAAAAAGGGAGTTCAAACGATTTCAGGACGTTGAATTACCCTAAGAATGGTCCTGGGTAAATTTCAACAAAATCAACGCGGGAATATTCTAGAGAATATTCCATCGGGTTGGACTTGGCAAACTGGGTTGGGTTTGGCTTCCTGGCCCAATGTTTCAAGGCTGGGTTTAATGGGCCCGGGTCCAGTGGGTTTTGGGGTTGATGGGTTGGGCTGAAGCCCGTGTCAGTAATGCCCAAAGGCCTGGGGTTTTAAGGGTTTGTATTGGGGCTTGGGCTGCCCAAATGGGCTAGGTTACTTGGGCCGACTTTTGGCCCATTTGTTAGGTGGGTTGCTGAAACCAAAGAGAGAGAGAAGGTCGATTTTCGG